GTGTATATAATGTATGCAAGTATGTATGTATGAAGGTATGCATGTGTGTATGTATGTATGAAGGTATGCATGTGTGTATGTAATACCTGCATGGGTAATTGTATATGTGTGTATGCATGCATGTCTGTGTATGTATATAATGTGTGTGGGCATGTGTGTGTGTATGTATGCATGTTGGTGGATGTATGTATGTATATTTAGCTGTGTAAGTATGTGGGTGTATGTGTGTGTATTTAGGTATGTATGTGTGTAAAGATGTGTGTATGTATAAATGTGTGTAGGTATGCATGTATGTGTGTGTATCTATGTATGCATGTAAGTGGATGTATGTATTCATGTGAGTGTAAATGTGTGGTTGTGGGCATATGTTGGTGTCTGTACATGTGATTGTATATGTGTGTATGCATGGATGCATGTATAGGTGTGTATGTATGGAATGCGTGTGTGCATGTATATCCATAAATGTCTCTGTGTGTGTTTTCTGTTTGTGCATTTATGTCTATGTATGTGCATGTGTTTTATGTCTGTGTATGTATGTAGATGCGTGTGTGTATGTATCACGTATGTCTGTATATGAGTGTGCATGTATGAGAACGTAGAAGTATGTATATGTGTGTGTGAGTGTGTACGATTGTGTACACATGATGTGTGTATGCATTTTTCTATAATTTATATTTCTTTATATCCATAACATGCATTACTGACAACAAGCATTGGTACTCTGAAAAAGGAGTGCTTAGAAGGGCCTAATGTCAGACGGGCCTGCGTGCCCAATTTGTAGCCCTTTGAAAATAAAGTTTGTTCGTTCGTTCGTTCACAATTTAATGTGCCATAATTAACCATTTAGTTAGCTGCTTCTCGTGTTCACAATTTACTGTGCCATAATTAACCAGCTACTAACCAACTTCTATTGCTTGAGTTGGATATATGATGCAAGCAACATTATTTTAAACCAGTCAGCACTCAGTGACAAAGCAATTAAGGCAGACCGAAAACACATGTAGAAGGCAATTAGAAAGTTAATTTTAAAATATGGGGAGGACATGGTGTAAGCTGCATGCAATCATCATCAACATCGTCATCATCAGGTGCCTTGCCGACTGGTGTGGACAATCATGCCTCTCAACAATCTGCGATCTCCTGCAGCTTGTATCAGTAGCATGCAATAGTAAATGGTAAGATGACCTGGCATGATTTGTTTGAGGGCCTACGCTCCATTGGGGGATACAAGGGTGAAGAAGCAGTAGTATGTCTGCCTGTCAAGACAGCTATAATGAACTGCAGAATTTTATCTGCAAGTATCACAAATATGCAACTAATTTCTCAGTTTTAGGGTTGTAGGCTAAGGCTGGTAGAGCTGTTAAAAGTACCCCATTTACAACTTCTCTAGAGACTGATCCGGCTATTGTGAATTTTCCTGTTGGTTTGCCATTAAGGATGAGTCTTAGAAACTAATAGGTGATCAAAATTTAAGGTTGACAGGAAAAAAAGACAGAAGATTGTTATACAAGACACAACCGCAAATATGTATTGGATCCAATCCAGTTTCTCTGCAGGAATTGCACTAATCAGCAACTGACTCTTCTTTTGTCAAAATCTGCTTGTGCCGCTAGGCGTCGCAGTCTATCAGATGATCGGCAACCGAGCCAGGGCGCGCTCAGTCGCTTCATATGCCGTGATGTTATGAAGTCTCAAGTTGTCCGTGACTCCTTCAATCCATCTTCTTCTTGGTCTTCCCCTGCCTCTTGGTGTTTCGATTTTCATGTTGTATGCTCTTGATGCTGGCATCGTTGGTTCCATTCTCATTAGGTGACCAAACCATTTCATTCTTTGCTTCTCAATAAATTTAACGATGGGTATGGTTCCAATAGTTCTTGTAATCACATCGTTTCTCACTCGATCTCTTCTGGTTTTTATTCGCAGCCATTCTCAAACATCTCATTTCACAGGTGGTTAGTCTTCTCTCGTGTTCTTTTGTTAATGTCCAAGTCTGACATTGATAACCTAATGTCGGTATAAAGATTGTATTTATAATTTGTCTTTTTATCTCAGCTGGGACAGCAGGGTGTTTTAAAATTGGGGCAAGCTGGTATGCGACATTGTTGGCTTGTTGGATTCTTGCTTCGATCTCTCTGTCTATTTTACCATTGAATGTAAAGATACTTCCCAAGTATTTAAATTCTTGCACTTGTTTTAGGCAACTGACTCTGGTTATATAGAATGAAGTGGCTGGTCAAGCTGCTAGAGTGCATGGCTCTTATCTGGGAGATGGGTTTGAATCACTGGCAAAGTTAGGGATGCTTTTTGAGCTAGCGTAAAAATAAATTTCCTAGCCTGCACAGTTCAATGTGAGAACACTAGCCATGCGCCCTGAAATCCTCAGCCTCAAACCCATCATAACAAGTGGTACTAGTGCCCCATAAGTTTCTATACATAGGACAAAATTACCACTTCAATGAAAACTATTTTTATTTATATAATATGCACTACTGGACTATCATTGTTTTGAAAAGAAAAGAAGAAAAAGCATAGCTGGATTTAAGCTTGTGATGGCATTTATGATGTGTTTATTTTTCCTATGTATGGAAACTTATGGGACACTAAGCAGTCAAAACTTTTTTTTTTTTTTTTCAGTGACCCAGAATAATGTAATCAGGGTGGGTGAAAAAACAGGACAACAATCAGTACAATGCATGTCCTCTTCAGGACGTCGCATATCAACCCCAGCATTTACTAGCCGTTGTGTGGTTTCACTATACAATTTTATGATCAGTAATCTGCCACTGATTTCTGAACGGTGCAATGCTTAGCAAGTGTCAAAGACACATTATGAGCAGGAATCCTGATTTTGTTTTTACACAAAGAATTCATGACTGACATTTCATTGTTTTCCAAGATACAAAGTGTGACATACATTATCAGTTCAAATTTTGGTAATGTTTAACAACAAACAAATCTAACTGATAGCATATTATCTGCTGAAATTTTGGTATTTAAAAAAAAAAAAGTGCTAACTGATACATCATCCACTGAAATGTGTGTATATTTGTAAAAATACAAACTTACTTAAACATTCAGGGTTACCCTACAGTCTGGACACGTAGGCAAAAATAAATATTTTCAAGAAATGAAACAACTCGACGTTTTATTCTCTACTTCGACTTCCATCAACTGCTATATAATATATATATATATATATATATATATATATATATATATATATATATATATATATATATATATATATATATATATATATATATATATATATATATATATATATATATATATATATATAAAATCAGTCCGAGTTTTGGTAAATTTTGAAGACACAAATTGAAACTGATAAATTATTAGCAGAAATTTTCATACAGGCACTTAGAACTTGTCTAGGCATATTTGCCACTCCCAGATTCACCATTATAATGCCAGTGCTTGTAGTCAAATATAAGCATCATGCATGTGCCTGCACTGAGGATCAACACAATATAGACAAACTAGATCCTATTATTTACTGTAATATGAAAGATTGTAAATCTTGAAACAAAAAAAAATTTTCTTTAATGCAATCCATGTTAAGTAGAAAATGATGTTATACTGTGACATGAATCATTGTAACTGACAAAAAGAAAATGAAGAAAAAAAAACATTTGTTAAAAATATCCATAAAAATGGATCCAAAACAGGAATTCATACTATACTGTGATATGAAACACTGTGACACTACAACATAAATGGAGTCCTATAAGGACATATGGTCCATACCATATGACATAGAGTCATATGGTGTATGGCAGGATCATTGAACTAAGTTTACGCTGGGACCAAAATGTTGCAAATGTGGATCGTCACAGGCCAGAGGTCTCAGTCCCAGCAGTGAAGGATCATTTATACAATACAACTGGCAATGATCCGTGGGCCACTTGACTGGCCTCTGCAGGCAACCTCTGGCTAGCAGTCCAAAAGTACTGCCGCATGGCATCATTAGTCATGCCATATGGCATTGGTAGTCATATGCCATTTGGGAATGGCAGTCAAGCTGTATGGCATTGGTAGGCAAGCCATGTGGTATCAGTAGTCATATGCTGTATGGCATTGGTAGTCACATGCCGTATGGCATTGGTAGTCATATGCTGTATGGCATTGGTAGTCATGACTGCCTACAGCCTTGTGTCTCGTGTACTGTCAATCATTTATGATACAGATGATACAAATGCTATTCCATGCCATGATACCAAACTATCCAGCATCCGCTCTCCTGGCCTCCTCCTACCTCTCTCTTTTCTTTTTTTTCATGATGTGATCAGTTTTTCTCTTCTTCATGCATAAACCACAGACTGTCGATGGTGTTCACATTATTCACTAAAAACCACCGACTGTCCATGATGTTCACATCATTCACTAAAAACCAGACTGTCCATGGTGTTCACATCATTCACTAAAAACCACCGACTGTCCATGGTGTTCACTTCATTCACTAAAACCACTGACTGTCCATGGTGTTCACTTCATTCACTAAAACCACCGACTGTCCATGGTGTTCACATCATTCACTAAAAACCACCGGCTGTCCATGGTGTTCACATCATTCACTAAAAACCATAGACTGTCTATGGTGTTCACTTCATTCACTAAAACCACCGACTGTCCATGGTGTTCACATCATTCACTAAAAATCATAGACTGTCTATGGTGTTCAGATCATTCACTAAAAACCATCGACTGTCTATGGTGTTCACATCATTCACTAAAAACCACCGACTGTCCATGGTGTTCACTTTATTCACTAAAACCACCGACTGTCCAGGGTGTTCACAGACCAAATAAATTATCTGAGGCTAGTACACAACTTCAGTTGCATACTAATAAGTAGATTTATTTGTTTTATCTGGCTGAACCACATTAATTATCCAAATATCGTACCCACATTTTTAAAAAGGGGGCATCTATTTGTTTTATCTGGCTAGACCAAATACATTACTTGAGGCTAGCTTACATCTTCAGCCACATGCAAACAACTCACATTGCATTCTAAACATTTCACAATACGGGCAGTCTGTGTGTACTTGTAAAATAACGTTGATAGCATCCCAGTTTTTGTGCTGGTAGAAATACTCCAAAATGTAGCCGATCTTGACGCCATAACCTGCAAGCATTCGCAGGAAGAAGTCTGATACTTTTTCATCCACCTGCCATTGATATGTCTGCCTGAAAAAAAAAAACCACAATCATTATTTACAGTTTGATATGATATGGATTTTGCTCAACACTCTGACAGAAATATTTATTTCACCTAGGACTGAGTGGAAAAACCAATGATAATATAACAAAAAAATAAGATAGAAAGATTTATAATTACAAATAGGACTGAGTGGAATATAACAACTGAATAAGTCAGACAGAATTATAATAATAAATAGGACTACGTTGAATATAACAACTGAATAAGACAGAAATATTTATAACAATATATAGAACTAAGTGGAATATAACAACTGAATAAGTCAGAAAGAATTATAATAATAAATAGGACTACGTTGAATATAACAACTGAATAAGACAGAAATAGTTATAATTATAAATAGGACTAAGTGAAATATAACAGTGTGAGATGCCAGGTCGGCAACGTGATTTATAATATTTAGGAATAAGTGGAATATAACAACTGAATGGGACAGATTTATAATAATAAATAGGGCCACAAGAAATATAACTATTGTATTAGACAGAAATATTTATAATAATAAATAGGACTGAGGGGGAAATATCTGCTAGATACTCACCTAAAAGGTCATAAGTTCAAATCTGAAGGGAATCAGACATTTTTTTCACAAAAGACCTTGGCTTCCAGGCTGACCCAGCCTAAAACGGGTACCAGGTAAAGTTATGGGAAGCAAAGGTGACCGGCATGACGCTGACCACATTCACCCACTAAGTGCCAATCTATAAAATTTAGGAGGCCTAATATACCTGAAGGTGTGGAAAAGGGTCCTTTACTTTTGATAGGATTGAGTGGAAGTCAGTGGTCAGAAGAGCATTATACGTGGCTCACAATACGAGATTAGTGCCCGATGCGATGGCATGAAAAGGATCTTTCGCTACTGTTTCTACTACTGCTAAGTGGAACATTGTTTATTTTACACATCATCTTCATTGCACATCAGACATGACCATAAGTGCTCCGATCTCCTCCTGAGTATGTCTCCAAGTGTTTTTAGGCTAACAACTCCCATTCTGTTCTGGCTGATGTAACGATGGGTGGCCCCCACGTTGTTTTCCTGTATCGCGGCTCCAATTGGTACACACAGGGTATGCAGTCTATTCAGTAAAAAATCATTTTCCATGAAACTGAAAGCCTCGCAGCGTTTAGTCTTTCGTATGGCATTAATGACGTCTCTCCTGTCCATAGAGGGCCCGTTCCTGATAGTCAAACCGCCAGCCAGAGTGTCTGCTCTTTCACTGCCTTTCTCACATGAACATATTCTGGGACAAAAATGAAGGTGATTTTGCAAAACACTGTTTCACTGTTTCCGAAATTCTCCAACTTGATCTTCTGTCACTAAGAAAACATGCAATGGTGAATTTCTGAGTTTTAAGCCACTCTAGGGCCTTTGTCACAGCCCTGACCTCCATTGTCATGCTGGTGGTGGTAGAAGCAAACCTCCATTGTCTTCTCTCATAACTTTTCCTTTGTTTCTTGTCATGAAAGCCCATGCACTTCGTTTCTGACTAATCACAGAACCATCTGTATATATAACAGCATCTTACAGTGATGTGTGTTCCTCCACCCATGCTTTCACTTCTGCATCAACTATTGGTGGCGTCAAATCCTGTGGAACATAACTGGCGGGAACAATGATTTGTTTTTTTCTAGACAGGGACACTATGAGATTTCTTGAACAAGCTTTCCATAAGCATGAATGACACAGTTAATGAACTCACTGAGTCACAGGTAATGTGTGATGTGCCCCCAAACACATCTATTATGAGTTCTCTTTCTTTTAGTGTTAGAGCATATTAAAAAATCTGCCTATCCAAACAGCAATTTCTGTTGTTTCTTGTTTTCCTTGAGCATTTCTGACAGGTAATAGTTTGCTTTTGTGTTTACATAAAAACTAGCTTTATTATATAGCTTCACCAGAGATACACTGAAACTCATTCTTTATTCATTATGATTAACATTTATCTACCCTGTTTGTGCAAACATATTTCAATATTTGGCTATATAATTGTGTAGTCTTTTGCTGATCAACCACGATGATGAACAATTTTGAGAGATCCATCATCGTTGGCAATCCCAGATATGGTTTTCCATGCAAGAAGATCTCGTCAATCAAATCCAAGCTGATGACTTAGTGATTAACTTTGATTTTTTTGCAACTGCAAGTCAAACAGCAAACTACAGTAATAGTTGCAAGCTAAAAACAGAACAGTTGACCTAGAAATGGCACCCAACATAATATGTGCAAATGTCACATTGCTACTGTTCACCATTTGGCAGAAGTCCCTCAGATGGATTTTCTGATTTATAGTTCAGATAAAGATTTCTGTGCAAACAATCCAGGGAATGTTCAAAAAAATTAATATAAAACTTATAACAGAATGAGTTAAATAAAAGGCCAAAGTGGGTTCATTTAATAGTCAAATGAAGGTTTTAAATTAACAGCAAAGTGTGTTTTCGTAAAGAAAGTTAAAAAAAACAAAAAAACAGTAACATTGTAATCTACTACTCATATCTTCAGAGGTAACCAAGGAGGATCAGCATGAACCTACTAACTTTATCCCAAAAAAAACTAAACCTTTCACTGTGGAAACCCTTTAAAAACCCATAAACATAAGATTCCCCCACCCCCCAAAACAATTCTTTAAAAAGAAAAAACAGAGGTCCCTAATGAATGATTAGAAAATTTATTTACTCACATTTTAAAATTTTGTTACTGAAATATATGAAGCAGATCACTCAATAACATGAACTGAGTAGAGAACTGAATGACATCTATCCCGCAGTTCACCCCCCCCCCCCCCCCCCACAGCAAGTAATACAGTGACTCATACCATGTCCTTTACTCAGATTACTAAATACTAAATGGAAACTATGATGTCATCAGGTTTTTTCTTTAAAAGCAGCCTTTTTTTAAACGATGACACAACTCTTTTTTTCCTGGCACTACGGGACTATGTTTAGTATCTATTATCGCATCTGGTGTACAGCTGCAAACAGAGTCAATGCCATTAACTAGACTTTCTGTGGGACTAGCTAAAGTAAGATTGCTGGTTTAGCAGTTTGTCAGGAATTTTTAACAGATGGTGATGAAGGAGATTGTCTGGGACAAAAGGGTCAAGCTACAAATCCAACCATTCATAAACTCATCTACAAGGAACATGATGTAAGTTGATGGAAGACCTATGCTTCACTAGGAGATAAAAATCAGCAGAGAATGAAGGTTAGCAAAACAGATTAAATTAAACAAATGCGAATTTAATAAAAGTTTATAATAATGGGGATACTAACAATATACTGCACAATTCTGCCTGGCATATTATGCGGTACCCATGATGTGTCGCTAATGGGAAGTTTTAGACTAACCATTATCCTTCAGCTTATATAATGCAGAATTGTGCATCATAATTGTGACAGCTCACTTGATCTCTTTACCCAAAAAAGAAAACTTAAAACAAATTTAAGCAAATGTGTAAGTGAAAACTTACTCATGCACTTTTAGCTCATTGCGGGACTGGAACCCATATAAAGTCATATGCTGCTCCATGTAACCAATAAGAGCCTGCTCTCTGGTGCGGCAGGAAATAACCTCCAGTTGGGCTCTCAGGTTTCTGCGATAGGTTCCTGATTGCTCCAGGAGCTGTGAGACTGAGGCACAACATTGTTCTGGTTGTGGCTGAGCAGGAGGTGATTCTGGAACTGTGAAAAGGCTAAAGTAAAATACCCATGCCTTGAAGTGTAAGGGGTGTGGTACCAGCCAAATATGTTAACAGACTTCTTCTTCTCCTCCTGCTTCTTTGCAAGAAAAAAAATGGTTAAGGCACCAGATGGGACACTGCATATTAGAGCACACTTACACAATCATACATAAAAGAATCTGTGACCTGAGAATGTGGAACAGACAGACAGACCCCTGAGCATGCACTAACTACTCCTGGCAGAGTCTGTGGATCTAGCCCCAAGCAGCCACATTACCAGAAAAGCTGTGGTGGACCATCAACGACCTCAGATGCACTACCATGTTTGTGACCCCGACAAATGTTTAGCATGGCTGATGTCAAAGGCAGGAGAAGAACAAGAAGGATGTTTGTAATATAAGCCTACCCCAAATATAAGCCCTAGTTAGGAATGTCAGTCAGACAAACGGATTTTTTTTTTGTCCATTGAAGCGTGCAAAGGACATATGAATGGGACAGTTATAAATGTTTTTGAAGAAAAAAAAAATAATATTACCTAAATTAATGCTTTAAATAAATGGTAACACAAAAGTTTTGTATAAGCAAAAACAAGACATTCCCTGAAGAGAAAAGCACCAAGGTTTACTTTAGAGAAAATAATAATATAAAGTGCAGTCTTATTTTGGGGAAAACTCTTGAACTGTGTTATGGGGCCCCATTCTGCCGGGCTTCCCTAACAAGCATGTCAAACAAGGCGACTAATAAGGGAAGTTTTCTTCTAGGTTGGAGTGAACCTGAGAGGTGAAGAACCAGCAGTCTGCATACAAATAAGCCAGATCTGTAAAACGGACGTGCAATCAAATGTTTTGGAACAGGACCAAACTCCAGAAATGGTTAAACAAAAATAACTTTTTCTTGGAGTATACAGCTGGTGAATGCTAAGAAGAAGATTTCTTGGAAAACACTGTAGCAACCGGCCTGAAGGTTTTTGGTTCAAACCTGCATTTAGGCAGAATTTTATTTTCAAGCTAACTTAAATAGGTTTTTTTTTAATATTTATATTTCAGTTGTAAAAAAAAAAATTTTAAAGAAAAAGAAAGACAAACACTTACCAGTCACCTTGTCGTCCTCTATAAGCTGCTTCATTTTCTCCCAGCTGCTAAACCCTGGAAATTACAATCAAATTTGTAGGAGTAAATTACTTTATTATTAAGCCAAAAATAAAAATGTTACATCCTCTTTATGCCAACACATCAAGTATATGCTACTAGATTCATATTTGTATGGACCAATCAGCTCTAGGTGGGTGATGTGAGGTGCCGTGGACTTTTACTTCCCAGCACCTGCTACCTATTTTAGGTTGGCTCAACCTGGCGTGATGCTTGACCACATCACCCATCTTGTGCCAACTGGTCTATAAAAACACAGGTCTAGCAATATATGCCCTATACGCCTAAGGGTGTGGAAAAGGGACCGTTACTTTACAACCTGGCAGCAATTCTGAAGTGGATTTGAACCCAAGACCTTTGGCCCAGCAGGCAGGTATCTACCCACTACACCAGCACAGCTCCCATTTTATTAGTATTTATCAATTCATAAGGGCTTAGGGGTTAGGAATGCAGTTTCACAGTTCTGAATACCAGGTTTTATTCAGCTGCAAGGGATGTGGCAGCAAGGTGCTTTACGTTGATTCAGATATAGGTATGAGCACTGACTGAGCTATTCAGAAAGAAATGACAAATAACAACGTAAAATTTCTTAGTACAACAACCACAAACAGCCAACAAATTCTAGAGCTGATTTAAGCAGTCATGTAAAGGATACCTTTTCTTCACATTCACCAGTTGTAAACTCTGATGGGAAAGTTCTGCTTCTTCATCCATTTCTGTATTTCAGTCTTGTTTTAGAACTTTTTGCATGCACTGTTGGTCCCTTGCCTCTCAAACTTTAAAGGAAGCACCCCGAATTAGTCAACCTCTACAGCATGCTTGTGAGGGGAGTAGTTGATCTATCTCACAATAGGGCCCCAGAACCCACACGGAAAATAGATATCCAACATGCTTTAGCTTTCACCCAAGATGTACACTCTTTCAGACTGTTGTTTGTCCAACTCCACCTGACGAGAATGCCCTGGTACCAACTGCCACAGAGAGCAACGCTGAAGTAACATAATGAACATGGGGCAAGAGGAAGACCACGTAAGAGATGGAGCAAAATCATCAGGAGCAACCTAACAGAAATGAACACCAACTTGCAGAATGCATTAGAAAAAGTGCACAAATGATCCTTACATCTCCCTGCAACACCCCACTGAGGTAAATGGTGAAAGATAGAAGAAAAAGAAGCAGTTTGTCCATCTCTTCACTTTGTCCTTCCACTTGTTGTTCGTTCAAATGCACTAATTTTCCCTCCAGAATGGTTTGTATAAGCGTATTACATATTTCAATATGGCTGAATTATTTCACTTGTCTTTCCATTTCCATCAACATCACTTTTTTTTTATTCCAAGTCTCTTCAGAACTTCTGTATTTGATTGTTGAGCAGCAGTGTTTCTTTCTAGTGAAATCTCTAGCCTTGTCTCTTTCTTTTCTTGTGCATCTGCAGGTAGCTAAGTTGGCTAGGAGCAAAGCTGCTGTAGAGGAATGTGGGATCTCCAAGATGAACGGTCAAGCCATTTTCTGAATGCTTTGATAGCAACAGATTCATGTTTGCAATTCACCATCTGGTTTACAGGTGCAGTTTTGTTGTTTTGTTGTAGAGATATCTAGTATTATCAGTGGAGCATCTGTTTGTTTTTTATATGTATGATACAAACAGGCCACTCTAATCACCTTTAGAAGAGGGTAGCATATAGGTAACTTGACCGGCCTTACATAGACACAGGCTCTGTACACAGATAGTGGACTGAGTCACTGTGAACACTCCACTGTGAGTAAAGTTACCTTTATTTTCATCCCAGGTATGTGGGTGTTGTTGGCGATGACAGAACCGACAGACTGGTTGGTTCTGACTTAGCTGCAGATGGTCGGCCTCTAGATCGCTTCGACATTGTCAATGTCCTCAGAAATATAGGACAATTGGAGGATTCTGGAAGCAGCATGTCCACACAGTGATGTGTTAAGAATGCACATCATTGCTAAGAATGCACGTCACTGCTAAGAATGCACATCACTGCTAAGAATGCTCATCACTGCTAAGAATGCATATCACTGTTAAGAATGCTCATCACTGCTAAGAATGCACATCACTGCTAAGAATGCTCATCACTGCTAAGAATGCACATCACTGCTAAGAATGCACATCACTGTTAAGAATGCACATCACTGCTAAGAATGCTCATCACTGCTAAGAATGCACATCATTGCTAAGAATACACATCACTGCTAAGAATGCACATCACTGCTAAGAATGCACATCACTGCTAAGAATGCACATCACTGTAAAGAATGCACATCACTGCTAAGAATGCACATCACTGTTAAGAATGCTCATCACTGCTAAGAATGCACATCACTGTTAAGAATGCTCATCACTGCTAAGAATGCACGTCACTGATAAGAATGCACATCACTGCTAAGAATGCACATCACTGCTAAGAATGCACATCACTGCTAAGAATGCACATCACTGCTAAGAATGCACATCACTGATAAGAATGCACATCACTGCTAAGAATGCACATCACTGCTAAGAATGCACATCACTGCTAAGAATACACATCACTGCTAAGAATGCACATCACTGCTAAGAATGCACATCACTGCTAAGAATACACATCACTGCTAAGAATGCACATCACTGCTAAGAATGCACATCACTGCTAAGAAGGCACATCACTGCTAAGAATGCACATCACTGTTAAGAATACACATCACTGTTAAGAATACACATCACTGTTAAGAAGGCACATCACTGCTAAGAAGGCACATCACTGCTAAGAAGGCACATCACTGCTAAGAATACACATCACTGCTAAGAATGCACATCACTGCTAAGAATGCACATCACTGCTAAGAATACACATCACTGCTAAGAATGCACATCACTGCTAAGAATACACATCACTGTTAAGAATACACATCACTGTTAAGAATGCACATCACTGCTAAGAAGGCACATCACTGCTAAGAATGCACATCACTGTTAAGAATGCACATCACTGCTAAGAATGCACATCACTGCTAAGAATACACATCACTGCTAAGAATGCACATCACTGCTAAGAATACACATCACTGTTAAGAATGCACATCACTGTTAAGAATGCACATCACTGCTAAGAATGCACATCACTGCTAAGAATGTGAGAATTAGGAGTAAAGATGGGCACAGCGAGCCATGACCAGCACACTGGACGTATAAGCCTTGTCAACCAGCATAGGATTGGCATTAGTAACCAAATGACATTGATGTATGTGCTGAAGGGGGAACTTGAATCCCCATGGAAGTGTCCGGAGTGCCATGAAGATAACCCAACTCATTCTGGCCCTTTTCAGGCCATTGGCACATTAGGTATATGATGCTAGACCCAAATCTCTAGAGACCAAGGGATGTTTGATAGGTGACAGGGTGGCACACAGGATGTTTTGAAACCAACACAGATACAAGATAGGACTAATGAACAATACATACGTGATCCCATAGATTCAAAATTTGTCAGGGCTTCTTCTATCCTGGTGTCATAATTGTCCTCTGAAACAAGAAGAAAAAAAATCACTACAATAGAGTGAATACGTAAGACTTCATAACATCCAAGGAAAGCACAAAGTGTACCAACCCTTGGAGTAGGTTTCAGTGAATCAGCTTGTGGATCCCGGGACCTTATTTTGTTGCGAAGATGTTTTTCATATGGAGGTTTTGGTCACCAAGATTAGCCACTAATGGCATAGTCCGTAAGTCTCTTGAGAACCGCCTCATCTATACAATGGGATCAAACTCTCCAAGAAGACTCAACATCCAACACATTTTTATCTAAAAAAATTTTACTTATGGCTTTTGCCAGTCAGTTTTCTGGCTAGTATTCATTTCCAGTGTTCACGTGTCAGAGATTCAACTGGCCAGACAACCATGTGGATTTCTCTCGGAGATACTTTAGTTAAGTGATTTTGCATATTCTCCTTTGTATTTATGACACTGTTGCTTCAAAGCATGTGTTGATGCAAGCTTTCTAGCCACAATGTTCACTTGTTTATGTCTTTGATAATGTGAAGATCACTAGTTGTATTTTTCATTTGGTCTGATATTTTTTAATGGTATGTGGAAGAAAAGAAAATACCCACAATCCTTTAACAATCATGTAATTTAAGGTCTAACTAATTACGGGTTTGCTGGAGTCATATGTACTGGATCAAAAGGTTTAGAGTTGCAGTCCAACCATAAACCAAAACTACCCTTCAAGGAAAAATGCAGGAAATGATTATAAGACTGAATACTTCAGCTTGGTGGAGGGGAAAGGGTGGACCAAGAAAGACTTGGGTACAGAACTTATCTGACTGGACATGCAGCAAACAAGCAAATATCAAGTCCATTGCATCTGACCAACAGAGATGAGTGGAAACTTATCAGTCAGCAGTAACTGGTGTTATGGGACAATGATAAACACCCTGGGGAAACAAGAATGTCCTTAATAAAAGTTATGCCGTAACGGATCTCCGACTGTCTCTTGCCATGGTCGTTAGCCCTGTCAGACTGCAAAGTTTCTACCGTTTGTGCTGGTACATATCTCTTACTCACTTGCCTTCAACATTTTCCTATAGTATGGTTTGTTTAAGAATATTATGTCTTTAAATTCCATTTGTTGCTTTGTTTTTATTTCTTTCAACAATTATTTCAATTCCCCGTCTGTTTCCATGATACTTCTTTGTATATCAACATCTATAATACGTCAATATGACTTTCTAACTGCTTGCTTACTGCCCAAGTTTCTGCACCACACAGAATTAATGAGAGGCAAATTCAACAATTCATTTAATGTGTTTTATTCTTTGCAACTTCACTGACACTCTTACAACTGGAACTCTGCACTGCTTGCTGACATAGGTATGGAGCGCTGCAGAATATCCAGAGTTTTATAATGCTGGTTTTTCACTTAACTTATTCTTAAATACACAAAGAATGATGAAACAGAATTGCAGTCTTACCTTCATTCACATTTGCTACGCCATGGCTGGCTTCACTAGATGCTACACAAGGATAAGAAAGACATAATGATAGAACACTTGCAGCATATGTTAATAAATTATAGCAATCATAAGAGAGATAGAAGAGGATGGACAGAGATGAAAAGCAGGCTAAGCAAAGCAGGAAGAAGCAGAGACAGAACTGATATAATCAATGCTGTACAAAATAGTCTGGTGGATAATGAGTTGTTTATATGAATCTAAATATATCCTGCATTGTTCTTCAAAGTACGGTAGCTACACTGTCTTGTTGCTTACAGCTAGGCTGCGATACATGCACCATCCTGCTCAATACAATCCAGTCTCAGCAGACTCCTAACTGGTCCTCTTTTATAGAGCCACAACCCTGTTCTCATAGTTTTCAAACATTTGCAAGAGAGTCACACCGTGGAAGAGACTGAGGTCTCACCGCGTAATATTCCTAAAGACAAGAGTGGTACACTGTAGCCAACCTTCAGTGTGAAGACGGGACAGAATATATACAGAGAGAAGTAGTTTTATCACTAACCCCTCCCCCACAAACAGGGCCAGGAACCAACACACTGACAACCTTACTATATGACCAGGGAGTAAAAACTGGCAAAGCATGTTTAAGCCATCTTCAAGGTCAACACAGGAGACTAACCAACTCTGAACAGGAACAGTCAGTAGAGGTACCTTAGGATGGCTGCCACCCTGGAGGACTAAGCCTGCTTTAAGTGCAGAATGAATACCTGCAATGGACACCACCTGTGGTATTCCAGGAAATTAGAGAGCAGATAAGCTGGCAAGATTTGGGAGTAATCTTGGACAACCTCATCTACAACAAACCTACAAAGAAACCAAAACAGTCATAAAGCAGTCCTTCAAGGAAGAGTGCAGGATGCAGAATGGATATTACAGACCAGAAAGTTAAAGCATAAACAAAATCTATGGGAAAAAAAAAAACAGGAAAGAACAAATAAAAATTTTTTGACTTTGGACAGGACACTGTCCTTTTACACCAACATATGGAAACAGAACAGACCTTTACATTTCAAACCTTTTGTACTATAATATTGTCTCTTCTTCTTCAGTATTTTGAGCCATTGAGGTCCACAGATATAACCCATCTCCATTCTTCTGTGATTGGTCTTCTTTTTCCAGTTGGTGCACCCAAATGTTTGTAGATCTTCACAATCTTCTTGGTCTGCCTCATGATCTACTTTCATTCATCATTTGTGTTCATGGTTTCTGATTTTCTTATCTACCTTCTTCCTCTTCTTCTATTGTTCGCTTGAAATAAATTATCTATATCTGCAATGTTATCTCTAGTATAAACTTCACCGTCTTATGTAATTTACTCAGCGAGCCGTAAATTTTGACTTGCACCGATGTTTCTCTTGGCCAAAAGTTTTGGCTTGATGTATTTGGGACAGTCTTGGGGGACATGATCTGCTGTCTCAGGTGCCAATCGTCATGTGCACATGGCTGATTCGCAGATTTTAAATTCTGTGTACATATGGCTGCGAAGTCGAGTGTGTCCTGTTCTAAGACGTAGAATAATGACTTGCTCTGGTCTTATCTACCATTCTCTCTATTTGCCCCAACCATCTCAGTCTATTAGCCCTCCAGATGCTAGTAATTAATAGTGATTTTACAAGATTCTAATCTCTGCTGTTTGAATCTCTGATGGGTCCACTTATGTGCTGTAAGACTGTTCTCAAAAGTTTGTAATAAGGTTTCTTCTCTTTTAGTTGTACTCAAGGTTTTAGAACCATATAGGACAATTAGTCTTATCAGTGTTTTAAAATAATATTGTCTGCCTTTATTTCCCTGGACATGCCCTGGTGCCAATTTTTAGACTGGACTGACAGAGGTTTAAATATCTGTTTCAATTAGGATTTGATCACATGACTAGTGGTATGGTAGGAAAGCATGCTAGCAAATGCACATAGTTCCGTCACCCAGTTACTGAGCTAAGTGCATGGCGCAAAACTATGAGCCACGGATTTCATTTGAAATGCTACACCTGTGCCCAACATGGTTTGTGTTGTGAACAGCAGAATGTTGCTAGAGTAATTGTGGTATCTTATGCGATTATTTGTGTGTGCAACTACTGATCTGTTACTTCTACTGACGACGAACTGCATTTCTAGTGTCAGACTGTTTGTGTTGGCACTTCTGACTGCTGCCTTATGCATTTCATGCCTGTGCATCTGTTGGATTTGCTAAGACTACAGTATAGTTTCAATGCTGTTCTCAAGTGACGGTGATGGTTATTCTGTGTGGTTTCATTGGCACAGGAATGGAGCAACTTTGGGGTGACCCATTTGCTATGAAGTTGGAACTGTGATTACCTGATTGTGTTTGCCTTTTTTTGGGCCAGAAAACGCTAAAGAATATGTGCAAATACTGGCTCACCTTTTGATGTATCTGTTTCTGAATTACTTGAAGATTTCTGTAGATTATCTGTAAGAGACACATCAACTGTTAAAGTTAAGCAAGCAACTCTTCTTATGTTCACCTGCTATAAATTCCAATTTTTCATCCACTTCTGGATTTTAGTCTTGTTCCAGACTTTGACTTATGCCTGCACATCCATTTTACAGATCTGGCTTGTTTGTAAGCAGACTGTTGGTAAATTAGCACCACTCAGGCAGATGCACTCCAACTTTTGGGGAGAAAAAAAATAAGTACCCATCATCATCATGTAGCAGGTCCTATGTAGAATACTGCTCGCATCATGATACACTGGAGAGCCATTGGTCCCCTGTCTTTCCCGCCCAGTAAACTTTTAAACCCAAGGTATTCTTGATATCCTTGGTCCACTTTCATACTGGTTGTCCCCTGCCTCTTCTTCCATGAACCACACCTTTCATCATCTTTCTTGCCAAACTGTTTTTGGTGATTTAACCTTTCACCCTGAGAAGCCACAACATGACACTTCCGTTTGGTACCATTTCTCCATAAAAGCCGCTTTCCCGGCTCGTTACACAGACATGTTTACGCGATCTTAGACCAAAAGAATGCACTGCATCCTCACCTGCACAAACATTTAGCGTGACAGGGAAAGACTAAATTTCTAATATGATATTTTATTATCTTAAGAATGACCAAGAAATGTACGATTTGTTATCTGGCACCGAAAGAAATGGGAAATATGAAAACTATTTGCTACTGATATTTTAGAATGTTCACTAAATCTTTAGATATATTCACACAATGTTCACCACTTATTTATATTTTCTAAAACATTTAGTTATATTCCTATACATTTTACTTCTCCCTACGCAAACTTTTGAAAAATTATTTTTTTCTACACAAGTTTTAAACAATCTTTTGAAGAATTATAATCTTTTTGTAACACATGTTTAAAGCAGTCTTTCAAACAATTCTTTTTCTACACATCTTCAAAACAATACCTTGAAGAATGTCTTTCTCAACATATACATATATATATAAAATAGTTATACTGTTAACTACAGAGCGAAAGGCAAAAAGGAAGACCATGGAGGAGATGGATCGACATAAATCCTGTAAAAAAAAATATTTAAAAAATGAACAAAACCACCCAGAAGTGCAAGACAAATACAGAAAACCACAACACTGAGTTACAACTTGATAACAGTGTGATAATGAAAGAAGATGATACTGTTATCTGAAACATGATTATAACTGCCCTGGGACTTTAACATTTTTTGTTTTTGTTGTTGTTGCACACACAGTTGCCTACTTTTCCACTTTTTCTGTGTAGTCTAGGTATTTATTCTTTTTCTTCTTCTACATTTACCCTCAAAAGGGTGACTGGCATGTTGTGTTTTACAGCTAGGCTGTGACAGCCGTACTTTTCAGCCCAATACATTTGATATCGGCACACCCCAAATTAATTCCCTTTTTGACAGGCTTATAAGGGTGGCAGTGGGTCTATTCTTCCATCCCCTAAAAATGGAGCCCTGGAACCCACAGGGGGAGGTTAGGATTATACAAGAGACAGGAGGATTATAGCTACCAGCAGTGAGAAATGATAACAAAATATTACAATCACAAGGACCTCACCTTCTCCTTCTTCGACATCCACAAGTGGCTGCTTACATTCAACATCCAATTCTGGAAGACCACACACAGATGAAATAAGTTAGTGGAACATACATTAGCCATACACAGTAATAAACATACTAGCTACAGCAGGGTGCTGGGTAAAGATGGACAGTACTTCGAGAAGAGGGGCAGCCATATCCTCCAAGATGGTCTAATTCTTTAGATCTCATCTCATTAACTAGCTTTTTTATGGCTCCGCATGCCATAACCCAGACAATAGTCTTGGCTGACTGGCTAAATTAAGTGGGTGAAACTACATACGGGTTGATGAAGCTCATAAACCTTGGAAGGAAATTTGTCTACATAAAGAACAAACCAATGACTAAACCATCACTGCCTTGTGGAAGTTCCTGTAAGAACAAAGGCTAGGACAACAAAGCCCAACAAAAAAATGTGAGCAGGCAGAGCTCAGTAACCAAGAAATGCAATCCAGAAAAGAGACCGCAACCATCAAAGTTAAGGGACGTTGCCTAAGCGGCACAGGTTTAGAAAACGACCATATGTGCATTACAATGAATGAAAGAACCAGTTACAGTGGATCCATAAACAGTAAGCCTGAACAGAACATGGAACTCTAAAGCTGTACAGTTTTAAAACCAAGTTATTTATTTTCAATTCTAATGTTATTTCATTTTTAACGTATGCCATTTAAAGTTGAAGAACCGTTAATGAAAGTTCAAGGGGGGAAAAAGGGGAGGGCGCGACATCAAGCAAAAATGAGTGCATCTGTACTCGTAATTAGGGCTATACCGAATATTCGCTTCGTATTCGCTTTGGGGCATAATAGTGGACCTATTGACTATTCGGTATTTGGCCGAATAGTTGCGGTCGGGCCGAATACGAATAATGGTGGTTATCTTACAACCGCTTCTGTAAACACGGCCTTAATACTGACATCATAAAACGATTGGTTTTGTTGAAAGCTAATGCAGCTTTTATGCATT